TGAACTTCTTTTGCTTTCACGTTGAGCATATTGCAGGGCTGCTTTCCTCCCTTCCCATCTTTTTGTTTCTTCCTTCTTTCCCTGTCTCTCCACTCTCCCTCTTTTCCTTCTGGAAAGTGCTAGGCTTTTCCAGCTCGCGTCTCTTGGAGCTGTCTTTTCAGAGTGGGTGGAAGTTGCTCTGTTTATTCTGAGCCAGGGATTTGCCCCAACCATTAATAATAATAATAATAATAGTCACCAGAGAACAATGATCTCAAGTTCCTTGGCCCTGGATGGACGTCGTCTGGCGCCTCCCAGCAGCCCCCTCCCTGCTCTCTGTACCGAGCTGGATTTGGAGGATTGGGTGGGGACGGGGGAGGAGGGCAGGGGAAGCACTCGGTGGGGGGTGGGGGTGGGGGTGGCAGGTGATGCAAAAGGAGAGGGAGATTTGTAGCTTGGGAAGCAGCCTGTGTTTCAGTGCCTTGACATTTGGGAGCTACAAGACGACACAGCAACCCTGAGCTGCCCAGAGTCCCGGGAACTCAGATGAAACAGTCAGGGGAAGGAGAGTGACTCATTGCCCGGCCGATGGGCAGCCTAGCGGGCTCTCAGGGACGCGGTGCAAAGTCGAGAACAGCTTGCATTAGTCAGATGTTTGCCCTGGAAGCGATCACGCCCTCACCTCGCCGTCCTTAACGGGGCTGCAAGGATTGAGTGAGGTAGCCCCGATGGAAAAGCTTTGCAGAGATTAAAAAAAGCCTCAGAAGTGAAAGACAGTGTTGATATCAAGTAAAGAGGGGCATGCTCAGCAAAGCAAGAAGATGTAGAGAAGGAATTTCCCCCCCAGGGGACTTGGTGGCCCCTGCACAGGCCAAGCTGCGTTTATTTAAGGCTCTGGTAAAAAAACAAACAAACAATGCAGCATCCCCTCCACCTGCAGTGTCCTTGCTGGGTGAGGAGACAGGGCTCCAGGGAGTGAGGGGTGGTGTCAGGCCTGCGGGGTGAGAGCCCCTTGGCCCTGCAGGTGCTTCCTGACTCTCCCCCGACATCATGGACATTATGATAAAGCAACCAAGGCACCGCTGGTGTCCCTTGCCAGGCTGTTCCTTGAAATTCCAAGGGATGTATTTCTCTGTTTTCTTCGTCAGCAGTTGAGAGTGGAGGGAGGGGATGTTGGAATCCGGAAGGGAGTCTGAAAGGAGCCCCGGGAGGCTGGCCGGTGCCTGGGCTCAGGGATGCTCAGGGAGCACCAGGGCGTAGAAGCTGCCCCCCCACCCCGGCATCACCCTGTGGGTGTTCCCTGCCACTCCCACGCTGCACAGCTGCCCCACCCTTCCCAAGGCCACACGTGGGACCGAGTGCCCAGGACGGGGGTGGGTACAAGTGGGATCTGCTGGGGTTCTGTCCAGCTTTTTATTTTATTTTTTTGTGGCACGCGGGCCTCTCACTGCTGCGGCCCCTCCCGTCACGGAGCACAGGCTCTGGACGCGCAGGCTCAGCGGCCATGGCTCACGGGCACAGCCACAAGCGGCATGTGGGATCTTCCCGGACCGGGGCACGAACCCGTGTCCCCTGCATAGGCAGGCGGACTCTCAACCACTGCGCCACCAGGGAAGCCATTGTCCAGCTTTTTAAAAGGCAGCCTCTAAGTGAAGCTGGGGTGGGATTGTATTAGTATACCCCACCCCCCAGCACTGAAATAAAGCAGTACAACCAGCGGAGTGTAGGTTGATGAAATGGTCAAAGGATATGGCCGGCAGGGGCATCGTGGTGCGGGGTGTTTGCTCTCCTGCTCTGTGCCTGAAACCCCATCTTCAGAAATCAGTGTGGCTTGTTGCCTTCCGTTCAGGTCACTGCTCAAACACCACCTTCTCAGAGAGACCTCCCTCAGCACCGTATCTGGAGGAGCCCTCCAGCTTTGCATTTCATAATGAGATGCTAGGGGATGCTAGAAAAATGCCTGGCATGGGGCTTGAACCTGGTACACATGACAATTGTCCTATGTAACTATGGCGATGAGCTTGTTTTTCTCCTCAACATTATCCCAACCTGGCCCTCGACTTTATAATTTATTGTTAGTTTATTGTGTGTCTCTGGAAGATCCGTGAGGAGAGGGGACTTGACTGTTTTGTACCATCAGGACCTGAAATGGTTCTGGTGCACAGCTGATGCTTAAGTTTGCCAAACACATGAAAGGCAGGCTTCCTGGAGGAAGCGGGAAAATTCTTACCTTGACAATAAAAAGAGGGTCTGTGCATTCTCAGCGTGACCAGCAATTCAGGGAGGTTCTGATCGTCCTAAATCTTTCTGAAGCAGAAGGTTTCTCAGCTTCAGCACTGTTGGCATTTGGCCGCATCACCCTCCGTGGTGGGAGCCGTCCTGCATGACATGGGGCTTTTAGCAGCATCGCTGGCCTCTACCCACTAGCTGTCCACACCCTTCTTCTCCCCGACGCCCACATACAAAAACGCCCATTGCCAGATGTCCCCTGCGGACAGAGACACCCCAGTTGAAAACTGCTGTCCTCGATGAAAACCAGGGTCTCTCCCAGCTGCATCCGACTGATTGGCCCCCGTCAAAGCAGCAGCCCTGAGCGTATTAAGGTGGCCGCATCTCTGCTGTAATGAAGTGGTTCTCTTTCCATATCCTTCCCCCCAGCTCCGCATCCATCACATTCTAAAAAGAAGCAAGACAAAGGAAGAAACACCCGCCGATGCACGCACTCTCCTAGTGAAACATGTCTTTCACGGCTGCAGTGATTCTTCAGATGTCAGCGTGAGATGTAGGATTAGAAATAATTAAAGCTTATAAACAAACAAAGAGCTGCGACTATGTGGCCCGAGGCACATGGCACAGACACCAGCTGTCACTCAGTGGGGGTGGGGTGGGGGGAGACGCTGGCCTTCCCCAAGTCCCTTCTGTCCCCAAGAGTCGTCCATCTGCAGCGTCAACCTTGACTTATACAGTGGGACAGTCTGCCTCTCTTGGTGCCTCTCTCAGTGACAGAGCAGATGAAATCCCACAGCCCCTAGGATTCTACAGAGGGTCCTAAGAACTTTAACGAGGGCAGCTCAAACCACACCACCAGGTTTTTTTCCCCATTTAAAACAAAGTTAAAGGAGGTGTCGGTACCCTTATTAAAGTGCATTATAAGGGAACTATATTCCATATCCTGGGATAAGCCATAATGGAAAAGAATATGAAAAGGAGTGTGTGTGTGTGTGTGTGTGTGTGTGTGTGTGTGTGTGTGTATATAAAACTGAATCACTTTGCTGTACAGCAGAAATTAGCACAACATTGTAAATCAACTATGCTTCAATTTAAAAAAAAAAAAGTGCATTATAGGACTTCCCTGGTGGCGCAGTGGTTGGGAGTCCACCTGCCGATGCAGGGGACATGGGTTCGTGCCCAGTTCCGGGAAGATCCCACATGCCGCGGAGCGGCTGGGCCCGTGAGCCATGGCCGCTGAGCCTGCGCGTCCGGAGCCTGTGCTTCGCAACGGGAGAGGCCACAACAGTGAGAGGCCCGTGTACTGCAAAAAAAAAAAAAGTGCATATTATAGAATACATTGTAAATAAATGATTAGGACAATATCAATATATTGGAGAAATGAGAGGATGTGAGAGGAAGGTTTATGTTCTCGTTGTTCACATTTAGTTGGACAGAAATAATGAAGTAGAATGTCAGAATCATTAGTTTCTCTTTCTGATCCCTGATCAACATGATGATGAGAAAACAAGAAGGTGTGTGTGTGTGTGTGTGTGTGTGTGTGTAAGACACAGCCAGGCATAACTTTAGTGAGATTCCTTCATGAAACTTACCCAAGAAAACAGTTTTAGTATTTGCTTATGAATAGATGGATTTCAGTGATTGGATTAATAAGCCTTCTTCTCTCCCCTATTAGGGACACACGTTTATTTATTATTAATTAATTAATTAATTTGCACTGGGTCTTAGTTGTGGCAGGCGGGCTCCTTAGTTGAGGCTCGTGGACTCCTTAGTTGTGGTGTGCGAACTCTTAGTTGCGGCATGGATGTGGGATCTAGTTCCCTGACCAGGGATTGAAACCGGGCCCCCTGCCTTGGGAGTGCGGAGTCTTGTCCACTGCGCCACCAGGGAAGTCCTGGGACACACATTTTAAATAGAAACTTCTGTTTAGAGCTATTTTTGTCTGGTTTTCAAAAAATATCTGCTGTTTCCTTCCCCATTGAGGTGGATCCTGTTCACCGTCCCTTAGGGTCAGAGGGCTCCTGCCCATGTCTTTGGAGGAGAAGCTCACAGCCCCGCTGTAGGTTCACTTGTTTGCTCCTCCTGTGTTCCACTGGAACGTAAGCTCCATAAGAGCTAGAACTTCGTTAGTTCACCAAGTATCCACACCGTTGGCAGTCAATAAATATTTGTTAAATGAACATGGGGGTCAAAATCAAACTTTGTGTAGTTAATGCAAAAACAGTCAAAATGACTGGTTAGGGACAAAGCAGAAGGGTGACGTGGTGATCTAAGGCTGTCTGGGCTTGCCTCCAGCTGTGCTGTGTCCTCCACGACTGTCACTCGTTCTCCTTTGAGGTGCTTTTGTTTGACTCTCGTCCCCTTTTGATCTCTGGAGAGGTGGTGACCTCGGTTCCTGCTGCGAGGCTGCCATTGAGCGGGCCTGCCCTCCAGGCTTCTTTTGACAGTTGGGGAACTGAGTCCCTTCTGCCATCTGCCCGGCGGTGATGAATTGTGGAGGGAGGGGGGTTTGATGTTCGACCCGATCCTTCCCAGTGTGTGTTTTTCCCATTTCTAGGATCAGCACCGACGCCTCAGTTCCCGCTGTTGTCATCCTCAAAGTTCTGCAGCCAGAAAGCTTGTCGCCTTGCTCTTGACTCAGCCCAGCCTGACAGCTGGGTCTGGCCCGGGGACTAGGCTGGCCCGGGGCTCTCGGTAGAGGAGGGCAAGCCACCTTGGCTGCTGGGAGCTGGAGGGGCCGGGGGAATGAAGGCAGACAGGTGTTACAGTGATGGCCCTGCTTCTCGTTTCAGGGTGCAGCAGAAGACCCCCAGATGGCCCTGGCACTGAACCTCGACCCTGCGTTGATGAAGAAGTCTGATGCTGAGGGTCCCAGGCCGTTCTTCCCCGAGAGTGAACTTTCCATCCGGATAGGTAGAGCTGGGCTTCTTTCAGGCAAGCTCCCTGCTGCAGACCCTGGGCCGAGTGAGACAGGGGAGAGTCAGGCCTGGTGGCAGGAGGGATGGCAGGGAAATGCTAGGTGCTCTGTCCTGTCCTTGCAGAGTACCCACCCCACTGTCGCACGGCGCTGAGCCAGGGTCTGGCCCCGTGCTTTCCTTCCCCATTGGTTCTGCAAACCACCTGCCTAGTGCACAGGAGGTAACAGGGCCTTTTGATTTGCTCTTCCAACTTGGACAAGTGGGCAAGGGCCACTCTGATGGGACTGGGCTGGTTTGGGTTGGAGTGGATGGGCACCTGTCCCTCTGTCTCCGCCTCCCTGACGGACCCTGGATGCTCCTTTCCATTTACGTGGCTTTCATCTTTTTGGTCCATCTGGGGAAACTGGCTGTTGCTCTCACTGATTCAGTTTGGAGCCAGAAAACCTGAAAACACTGATGACAAAGTCATGCCTTTTGTCTTAAGTTAGAGGGAGTGCGTCCCTCAAGAGGAATAGGGCAGGAATTCCGGAATCTCTGTCGGGGGAGTGCAGACTGGGCCAGTGCCCCCTGAGAAGGAGTTCAGAGGATTATGCCGGTTTCCAGTCTCCGTGTAGGACTCCCCGCTCCTTGCCCGGTCGTGGCTCACCCAGGGCAGTTGGCTAATTTAAGCACCAGTTTGCACCAGGAGAGGTGGGTGCCTGTTTTTTCCTTTGCATTTATTCAAGTCCCACGTTTAGCGGGCGAGCGCCACCCCCTCCCCCCCACGCTGTGAAACGTTTGCCCCTCCCCCTCCCCACTTCTGTAAGCCTCAGACTCGGGAACTAAAACCAGGCAAAGGATGCTGAGGGTGGCTGTCTCCTGCCTCGCCTGGGGTTCGCCCTTAGGTGCGTCAGAGAGAGACAGACTGGTGACCAGCCGCTGTCTTCACATTAGTGATTTAAGGGAGAAAGTCCTTTCATGTTTCCGGGCTGGGACGCTAATTTGCTGTTTCCACCCTGTGTCGGCAGAGGTGATCTCTAGACCGCGGTACAGTAAACGTACAAAAGTTACAGCGATGCCCCGGCCAGTTCTCAGTTCTCTGCGTTCAGCTTATGTCCTGCATGAATTATTCATGGAGAACTCGAATACCTTCTCCACTTGGGTTGCGGCTCACTGCCGCCTACCGCTTTGGATGTGGGATGTAATCGGGAAACGAAAATCCATCTAACGTGAGCTCAAGGAGTAGAGGGTTAGCACGAAAACCTGCCCACTGTGTCCAGTCAGTCTTGTCATTCATACTCAGATCAGAACCACTCGGTGCTGTCTGCTGTTCTCCTCTTATTGGAGAGTCAAGAGCTGTCCAGTGACCAGCGTGGGGCACCATCCTCCAGTAGAGATTGTCATTTTCCATGCCAAGTCGTGGGAACACAGGGACAGGAGGCTTTCTCTCCATTCTCCCCAGCTATCTTGTCGTGGAGCTCCTGTGATCTGCTATGAAGACATTATGGTCCTGATTCTTTTTTTTTTTTTGCTATAAAAATAGAATAGGAGGGCTTCCCTGGTGGCGCAGTGGTTGAGAGTCCGCCTGCCGGTGCAGGGGGCATGGGTTCGTGCCCCGGTCCGGGAAGATCCCACATGCCGCGGAGCGGCTGGGCCCATGAGCCATGGCCGCTGAGCCTGCGCGTCCGGAGCCTATGCTCCACAATGGGAGAGGCCACAGCGGTGAGAGGTCCGCGTACCGCAAAAAAAAAAAAAAAAAAAATAAGAGCACCTTTTAATTTATTCTGAGGCCAGTAATACCCTGATACCAAATGGATATCAAGGCATCACAAGAAAACTACAGACCAGTATATTTTTTAATAAGACAGAAATACCCAAATCACTCTAATGCCATATTTACGTTCCTAATTCTGAGCCTTCTCTACGATGAAGAAATTGGCTAGATTTTATTCTATCCCATTTTTTATCCCTATCCCACAGGCGGGAAGGTTCAGTGCCTGTCAATCCATCAAAAAAAAAAAAAAAGGTAAAAAGGGGCGATCCCTTTGAGATGAATCTTTAACGCTGGGGCCATGGGAATATAGGGCCAGCGGGAGTTGACTTTCCTGGAAAGTCTCCCAGGATTGCTGGATCTTCTTGGCCACCCCAGTGTGGAGCCGTGAGCAGAGACTGCGTGGGAGACGATGCAATCCCGTCCTCTGCTCAGAAACACCTAGGCATCGCCTGTTACCAGGTTACCAAGCAACCCTCAGTCGTTGTTGCTAACTGTTCAGATACAGAGGCAAATGCAGCCTTTGGGGGAGCACAAAGATGGTTTGCAGAGACCGAGGGAACCCAGCCACCTCGGGAAAGGTTGCTTTTCCTCCCACCTGGGCACACCTGTGGCTGTCAGGCAGTTGAAGACTGTTCAACTGGTAATGGTATTTGATGACTGGCCTTGTGCAGATCAAGTCTGAATACCTGTTGTTTGTACCATCTGGATTTGCCCTTGAGCTAGCTGTAAATGGAGCCCGGAGATGGGTTGAATGGGTGTTTAGTGAGTAACATCAGCCTTTAAGAAGTAATGTTGGCGCTGCTGTTATAATGTCCCATAATTGGTTCAACAAGAGGAAGGGCCAGAAAAACCACGCTGTGGGAGAGGAGGTCCGGCTGCTCTGAGCATCGCCAGCAGCCCGAGCTGGGAAAAGCATTTATGCATTTATGAGTGCTTTCCTATGTATGTCTTGGTGCCAAATGTTTTACAATATCAACTGTTCTCAGGGCCGGGGATATTTTGGGACTTAGCTAGACCAGAAGTTCTTATAAATCAGTCTCTCTCTCTGTCTCTCTCTCTCTCCCACCCCCCTCAACTATTTATCTCTCTCCAGCTAGCTTTCTTTTAATTAATTACTTAAGAAAGTAATAACATGGATTACAAATAAAAGTAAATTTTCTTCCACCTTCAGATCCCTTATGGTCTAGGTTCCCATCTCAGACACAAACACTGTTTCTAGGTTCTTGTGTTTCCTTTCAGAAATATTATGTTTATACCATCATACTTGGCCCGTTATTCTGTGCCTTGTGTTTTTCACTTAATAACACATTTTGGTTTTTGTTTCCTGGGCATTCATGGATTCTTATTCTTGGCCATGATCTTACCTAATTAGTCCCCTCTTGATGGCCCTTTAGGGTGTTTACACTCTTTTTGCTATTATAAAGAAAGTGGCACAGAGCACTTTCATGCATACATCTCTATGGGCAATTCTATTGTAGAGTAAATTCTAGAAACGAGGCCAGGGGTTCTGTACATCTGGGGTCCATGAGTGGGCGCCAAAGGGTTTATGAACCTCTTGGAATCTAATGCAAAAAGATACGTGTTTTTGGAAGGCAAAGATCTATAACGTCCATCACACTTCAGATGGCTCCACGACCCCAGTGTTTATCTAGAACTTGGCTTTTTTGCCTCAGCCTCCCACATTCAGCCTCCAGTGGACTTTTTTTTTTTTTTTCTCACTAGCACTCTCTTTAGGCTAAAGAAGGGTAATTTTGTTTTTTAATTTAACATATTTAGTGGAGTCTAATTGCTTTACAATGTTGTGTTAGTTTCTGCCGTACAACAAAGTAAATCAGCTATATGCATACATATATCCCGATATCTCCTCCCTCTTGTGTCTTCCTCCCACGCTCCCTATCCCACCCCTCTAGGTGGTCACAAAGCACCGAGCTGATCTCCCTCTGCGACGTGGCTGCTTCCCACTAGCTATCTATTTTACATTTGGTAGTGTATGTACGTCCATGCCACTCTCACTTCGTCTCAGCTTACCCTTCCCCCTCCCCGTGTCCTCAAGTGCATTCTGTACGTTTGCGTCTTTATTCCTGTCCTGCCCCTGGGTTTGTCAGAACCATTTTTTTTTTTTTTTTTTTTGCGGTACGCGGGCCTCTCACTGTTGTGGCCTCTCCCGTTGCGGAGCACAGGCTCCGGACACGCAGGCTCAGTGGCCATGGCTCATGGGCCCAGCCGCTCCGCGGCATGTGGGATCTTCCCAGACTGGGGCATGAACCCGCCCCTGCATCGGCAGGCGGACTCTCAACCACTGTGCCACCAGGGAAGCCCCAGAACCATTTTTTTTTAAAGAAGGGTAATTGTTAACTGCCCCATTTCCATACGTTGTTTGTTCTGAGAGAGGAAGCTGAAACTTTTCAAGAGTTTTTTTTTTCATGGATCCATTATCATGGCAGATGGAGGATTGTCTGTAATTTTGTGTACCTGTGGAAGGAACAGAAGTAAGCATTATTCTCCAGGAGAGAAAGAGGTGGATTTAATTTGGGAAATTAGTTGTGAAGTGGCTTCTATTTATTATCTATAAACCTTTCCCAAGCTTGTCGGGTGGAGAAGTGAATGGGGATTTAAGTCAGGCAAGAGTAAGCCGTAAGAAACTCTGGTTAGAAACACATTTTTCCTTGATGCCTTATTCTTTTATGTTAGGAGAATTCACCTGGCAATAATTCTACCTGGACAGCCTGGCAGATGAGAAACCATGTTTTGCACAACAAAACCGATGCAGACCTAGCGTCAAGTGGCTTATAAATTTGGAGAAATTGCCAACTCCAGTCACGTGTATTTGTTTGTATCTTAGGAATTCCTCATTGGTTGTGCTCCGGACTTGCTGGGTGGCATCTTCCCATACAACTAGAGCTGATCTTGGGAGACAGAATTTGCCTTTTCCAGCTCAAGGTTCCCAAGTGCCCGACCCCCAGATGAGCATCTACAGGGCTTGCCCACTGAGAGTCAGGAAGGCGCTTGGATGTGCTCTGATGCCCTTCCCCCTCTCCAAGGCGCCCCCATCTCTCCTCCAGGTATCATACTGTCGTCTTTCAATCATGCACTTGGAATCATTCCTCTCCGCTATTTTCGCCTTTAAGTATCCTCCCTTCGGTGCCTCTGGGAAGAGACTTGATCAGCTGTTGAACGGGGAGGCATCAGTTATCGACAGTGTTTTACTCCCGCTTATGTGTTACGTCTTAACCGGGGACAGTTTCTTTAGCTGAAGGGTTTTC